CTATGCTTTTGTCCTTGCTATAAGCTATAATTGGATCCGATGTAAATATTTCTTTGCATTTTATGTCTGTTTTCATTTCGTTCCAATATTTTAAGATTTTTTTTTTTAATCCCTTGATTCTAGGATTGTATTTTGTAACCATAACTAATTTATTTTGGAGTTTCGATTGTTTGTTGCTTTTATTAAGGATCTCATTTCTGTCTGCTTCACTTATGCTTGCGATGATAGGGTCTATTTCTGTATCAGAGTAGCCTCTCTTTGACAAGTGTTTCTTAAAGTCTTGTAGAATTATACTGAGTGTTGTAGTATCATTGGTATTTCTCATATGTCTTATACACTCACCCTTGATAAAACCTTTGAATACTGGGTTGTGAGCGCTTTCTCTGTGTAGATACTGAAAATTGTTTGTTGGTTTTGTGTATGATTTGATATCTAGTTTGTTGGATTCTTGAAATTTTCTTCCTTTATACACTGTTGTGTCTAAAAAGTTCACTGAATGAACAGAGATTTCAAAAGTGAATTTTAAGTGCGGGTGGCACTGATTGCCAAGTTCAAAGAACTCCAGAATCTCAGTCTTAGAACCATTGAAAATGATGAAACCGTCATCTCTAAATCGGCCATGAAACAAGACTTTATTAGCATATTGAAACTGCGCCATGATTGATTGGGTTATCTGGAATATTCTAATATCAGATACCTCCGGGGAAACAGTTGAACCCATTGCACACCCGATGATTTGTTTGTAATATTTTCCATTAAATTCAAAATAATTATTTTCGAGTATGCACTTTACAAGAAAGAGGAGATCTGAGACATCGGGATGAGGTAGATCTGATAAGACTCTTTCGTTATTTCTGTAGGCTTCTTCAACAGCGCATAATAATTCATCGAACTCCATGTTAGTATACATACTTGTTACATCATAAGTTATCAGTATGATCTGCGATGGTAGACATAATTTTATTGATAAAGTCAGTTGTATCCTTTATGTAGGTCGATTGTTTTTTTGACTATCGGAATTAGAAAGTAATCGCAGTAAGAACCAATTCTATGTGTTGGTGTATCGCTTTGTGAAATAATTGGTCGCCCAGGTGGTAACCGTCTGAGGCTGCATGTGCCATTCATGAGGGCAGTCAGGATATTATCTTTGATCTTGTGTATTTTAGGGAGCAAGTATAAATGTCCGCATTTAAGGGACGACTCATTTTCATTAAGATAACGATATATTTCTTTGTCCAGTGTTCCTCTAATATGCATATCCCATACTTTTTCTTGTATGATGTTATATAAATATGACAAATCGGGTTTGTCAACTTCAATATAGTGCTTTGATTTAAGTTGACGTAGTGCTTCAGTGATATATTTTTCTCTGTCCATGATGACTACAGTGTTACTTTTATGAGTTTTTTTAATGACGATATGGCAGTTGTTTTTTAATGATGCCAATGCTGCTCTTTCCTGGCTAGTTAGATTATCCTGATATTGTTTTATTGGCATAGATGATATTTCTAGTTTGGTTTTATCAATGTAATTTTCAAGTAAGCCACATGCCAGATCAGGTTTATAACCAGTTGATGTTCTGAAGAGATGAAGTTTTTTATCTTCTCGGGTATCAAAAAAGAATTTGCATCTGAGTTTTCTCGCAAATTCGTCAAAATCCTTAAGAAGAAACCTTTTGACATTGCTTTCTTGTGGTGACGGAATGAATTTAAGTCCTTTAGCTAGTAGTATATATTCATTATCTCTGAGACAATATGAGGATATTTGAGAACAAACTTTTTTGCATTTAAAACGCTTGCTTTGTGAATACGTTGTTTATGAGCACATGCATTAGATGCTCTCAACGCACTCTTCTTTTGTTTATCCTGACGTTTGAAGCGTCGCGCCATTGTAAGGGACGGTATATATATTGTTAAAGATTGAGATAATTATCTCAGATGATAAATTAATTTGCCGATAATTATAAATAAGGTACCACGTCTACTAAACGTCTGAGCGTATTAATATAGGGAAAACTAACAAGTACAAATTAATTTAGTAATATTACCACGTCTATAATACGTCTGAGCGTATTAATAGAGGGTATAAGGCACATAAGTAATTAATAATAATAGGCTAATTAGTGCCAATTGAAAATCAGTATCACCACGTCTATAATACTTCTGTGCACATTAGTAGAGGGCATAAGGTATGTAAGCATTTGATAATGGAATTTCCGTAGATAAGTGACAAAGCAAACAAACGGATGGCACAAAAATTAATCCTGTGGTGCTTATTCGCACTGATCTTATAGCAATGTCAGAAACTCGAGCTAAGAGAAACGTGGACAGGCGAAAAGCCACGCCTCCTTTCAATCAGATTGAAGCTACTACAATCAACCAATGACTGACCACGTTGCTGGTCAAATGTGTAAGAAAACAAAAAATCCAAATTCTATTTAAGATTATAATATGAAGAATAATATATATACAAAATAACAGAGACAAAATTCTTTGAAAAAAGTCAATGGATTTTTTAAGAGTCTGAATAGTTATAATGTACAAGTATTTGACTGTTCGTATATTATGATATAGCTTGTACAATATATAAAATCCATAATGTAAATTAATTATAATCCGCTCGAATATATAACAAACCTTACTAGTAAAAAGTTTTTCCAATTCCGAAGTGTCAATTTTGTTGGTTGTACTCACAGTTCTCTCGGGTATTAAAGGATATCAATAGAAAACGATTTTTTTAGGTACCGCATGTAAATACAGTTAGTATAATCCAAATTTTAGATGTCCATGTTGTTGTTAGAAATTATAATATGCACGGAATATGTATGAAATCACCAAGAAGAAGGTGTTTCGAGTCCTACTTGTGTAGAATGTTAATATGGGTAATAGCGTCTCCTAAAGTGACCTCTCTTTTCCTGAGGACGATAACCTGAGAATGTGTTCCTTCGGTTACTGTAATTCCAGTCCTTCCGGGGCTGATGCGTGGTTTTTCCTGGGGCTCTGGACACTGTTGCAGTCTTAGGATTGGATGAGTTTTGCTGCATAGAGCTCAAATGCCTACGAAATTCCTCAAGTTCCTTGGTGTTCTCATCATTGAGCTGCAGTATATCTGTGTCCAGCTGTTTCCTAATGGACGCGCTTTCTTGGGTAGCAAATCCTACCTTCTTAATTGTTTCCGTCCTAATCCTGTTCGCCTCGTTTTCTTTTTCCTTTATTTGGTTCTCGAGGAAATCTATAACTTTCTGCGAGGCTTGTTTCTGGATGGCGTCAGTTAGTTCTTTCCAGAAGCCTCAGAAATGAGATCCTTAATAAAAGCAACAAACAATCGAAACTCCAAAATAAATTAGTTATGGTTACAAAATACAATCCTAGAATCAAGGGATTAAAAAAACGCATCTTAAAATATTGGAACGAAATGAAAACAGACATAAGATGCAAAGAAATATTTACATCGGATCCAATTATAGCTTATAGCAAGGACAAAAGCATAGGCGATATAATTATTAGATCACGTTTACTACAAGACTAATATTGCTAAGGTGGACCCCTGAAGAGGCGGGCCTTAGGGCAAGCACCCGTTAAAAACCGCCGAAACACTCTTTACTATATTAATATATATATACAATTATGTTTCAAAAAGGAAACAATGTCGAAAAGTTTGGTTTAGAGTGTCGGGTCCTAATAAATATAATGGACGAGTTTGGCTGATTGATGTCCTTTTTTTCACACCATGTTCCTTTTTTTCACATCCAGAGGTGGCTCGGACAATCTTGTTGAAACTTTACAGAAATTATGATTAGAAACTCTAGGAGTGCAGTCAACATTCAATTTTTTCTAAATTCTTACCGTTGCCATGGAAACGGACGAAAAGTGAAAATTCTTTAATTTCTAGTTTTCTCAGTAGCTACGCAAGCAATCTTTTGGAAACTTTAAAGGTTATTCCTACTACTGGATCAAATTGTTTTCCGACAAAAAATTGGAGCAGGTCCATCGCTTCAGCCACCGGAACGAAATGATATTTTGGTTCACCTTAGTTTTGTACTTGAGCGTTCTCGTAGATGGCTTTCAAAATCTTCCTTAAAACTTTACAGAAATAAAAATCACCAACCCTAGTTGTGCATAGGATATTTTATTTTTTCAAAGTTTGTCGCTGAAGCCAGGTAAGAAACAAATGATTTATGAAAAGTGGCGGTCACGTGACCATTGTATGCTTTCAGAAGTTTCTTTTAATCAAAGTACTGAAAGGACTGATACGAGTTGATGGTTGTCCAAGCTTAGCTAATGGGTATTGCTTTAGTCATGAAAAAATGAAATGTCTATTTAGAAACAGAAATTTAAATTTCCATTTGATTTCTGATGTCAATTTCATGACATTATGCAATGTATTTTAAAATCCAATTAACAGATAATACTTTATGAAATTATAAGACAACGATATTTCTTTCTTTTAATAGTATAATTATACAGGTTATACATTATTGAGCATTGCTACCGTATTTTAAGAAATGAAATGAACTTGCACAACTATTATAAAATATATTAAAACAACAATTTTTGACATTCCTTCTTTTGTATACAGCAAGTATATTTTTGATAAGTGTCGTTTTTCACTGATATTTTTTTCTCTTGAGTAATGCTTTATTTTTGCATGCAGTTTTCAAATAAAATTCGGTTAACTAATAAATGTTAAGTCAAAAAAGTTGTTGTACAGTTTTACTACCCTCCCCCTTACACACACACGCGCGCGCCAGTTCGGGGCGACATACCCTATTGCTTGCAATAGCAGACTTTCTAGTTTTATTTTATTATTATTATTATTATTATTATAATATTTTTTTGTAAATCTTGACAATGTCATAAGTCCTTTTTCAGCAAGAGAATTACGTAATTTTTAACATAAATATACTCACAACGGATCTAAATGGTGTTTGAAGCGTTTTCAACTAAACTAATTTTCAACTTAATTATAAAGTTGTAAACCTTGCTCTTCATATATTTCAGAAAGACCAATTATACTATTGATATCAATGCAGACATCATTGTTGGCAAATTTCGAGAACAAAATATATCAGTTAAGGCATTACCTGGATTAATTTCAAAGAATTTTCGAGGAAACATAGATCACATAAGTTCTAGTTCCTATGAAGTGTTTGATACATCCATGGAAATCCAAGAGAGTCTGGAACACCAAACAAATGGTATTTTTAGTGTAGAATAAAATGCTTTTAGAAGAATCAGATATAACCTTAATTAAAGTCATATTGGATCAAATTATATAATTTGAAACTTGAAGATTTGACAGAGTGTAAAGCCACGGGAAAGCTTTGTACCTTGGGTTACAGTTGTGCTGTGTCCCCTGCGGACCACTACACCGGGGTATGTGTGCATCAATGTGACCTTGAAGATAAACCATGTAATAACAGGGGATATTGCTTTTTTGACACAGTTCTCAGCCAGACAGCTTGTAGGTAGGTCGTGCTATTACTCGTACCAAATAATTTCAGGTATCCAAAATGATATTTAAATCATGTTGTTATTAAAATTTGAATATGTAAAGTCACTTACATTCCCAAGATCATTTTTGGTACAAGTTTTTTAAAAATTTTCGCAATAAGTTTGGCATTGCGTATTCAATATTATAGGAAGTGTTTAAGTTATTTTCCACATGAGCAGTACATATCTTCATGTATTTATGAATCTTGTTTCAGCTAAAAATTTCATAGTTTATATTACTTTAACTTCCAAATAAATGCAATTGAGAGAAAAAAAAATCAGAATATTTTTGTGCCAGGTGTCAGAGGAGTCTTGTGACCATGTACTACGGACCTCAGTGTGAGGAGAGAACAGGGACTGTGGAGTTTGTTGTTGGTTTGTCTGTTGGTGGTGGAGGAGGCCTTATACTTGTCATCATACTTATCTTGTGTTGTAGGCGATCCTGTAAGGATGAACAAGAAAAAAGGTGAGCTTATTTTCATATGATCATAAATATATATCAAAGAACAATTAGAAGACAGCTTTACTACAAAAGTACTAAAGCCCGAGGTTGTTTATTTAGTTTATTTAATGGCTTTAACAACTACTGTGTTATCCATGTGACGGTGATAAATTTTCAAAATTATTTGTTTATAGTTTTTCAAAAATATACGATTCTTTTACAGTAAAAAGGGGGATTATTTCGCTACGAGTAAACTCGACATGAGAGACTTTACCTCTAGTCTACGTCTGACAGAAGACTCACAGAATTTATATCGATATACAGGTACTCCAGGAGTTACTAATCAGGTACAGGATTAGGACTACGTAGATTATACGTATGAAGATATATATGCAATATGAAAATAGCATTCAAGGAATAAACAAAGTTAGTCAGTGAACATGGCGTTATGAATAGCAATTTCTCTGTTGCCATATTCCATGATGCGCGCATGATCACTGAATAATCGTTGTTTATTACTAGGGATGGCAATCGAATGCAGAATTGCTAATCGGTTAACCGCAAGACGTTCCGACCGATTAATCGGTTAATCGTATAAAAAAAATTCTTGACATCTTTCATCACTGAAAGCTCTTCTGAAATAAACAAGACTAGAAATATGTTACATATAGTAAGATTATGTTTATATTTATATATTGTTTATAACACTATTTATAATTTATTTCAAGTTTAATAGTCAAAAAAACTTTAAAAAACCCATGCCCGAAGTATCAGATACATTAAAAAAATCAGAGGAGATGTCACGCAAGTTCATTCTGCATTGTATACCATAATCAAACCTATGTCTGAACTTTAATTTACAATGTGTGTTCAATAATATAATTTGATGGGTAACTGCAAAGGATAGAGGAGGTAAGGACTCATTATAATCAGTTCACGGTACTCAACGATCATTTAATTAAAATCATTAAAGAAACACAGGACAGGTTAGGTAAGGACATGTTGTCTTAACAGCAATTAACATCTCAAATACTGACCTGACTAATTACCCCCCCCCCCCCGGAGAGCCTTAATTTTTCCAAAAGGAAAAAGAGGCGGTACAAAGTTATGGCTATAAACTAAAGGAAACATCTTACGGAATGTCCCAACAGTATCCCAGGGAAATCGTCGACAGACGAAAAAAACTTATCCCGGTCATGACTCGAGCAAAGCGTGAGGATAAAACTGCTTTCCTAAAATATGATTAACTTATTATTGAGGGTGAAGAGTACAAACCACCTGGACTCAGCAGACCAAGAGAGAGGGGTCAAAATATATTACAAAGGGACACTAATGCAGACCAGGGATACGCCGGTGGAAGTATCAAAATAATGTCGTGGAACATTCAAGGTTTGACAACACAGAAACTTGAAAACAAAGAATTAAGTGATTTATTGGGAAATAATATGCCTACAAGAAACTTGGACTAACAACAATAGTAAAATTGATATGGAAAACTATGTGATGTATCACAAACCAAGAAAATTCATCCATAAGAGGGCTAAGCGTAACAGTGGTGACATTGCTGTTTTTATAAAAGATGAATTACATAAAGGTATTCAATTAGTGTTGTCAAATATTGATGGGATCATGTGGTTTAGAATTGATAAATACTTTTTCTTACTTGATAAGGATATATATTTATGCTGTGCTTACCTACCCCCGGAGAAATCCCCCGTATACAATATTATAACCAACGTTGAAAACATCTTTGATAAACTTTCCCAAAACATAGCTACATTCCGAAATATAGGAAAAGTTATTATAATGGGAGACTTAAACGCTCGTACGTCTGTATCGCCTGACTACACTGTATATCAGGGACGATTTTGTTGCACCGGAGAATGATGACCAATCTTATGTGTGTGACAATAAATTGGAACGCTATTCTGAAGACAAAACAAAAAATTCGTTCGATACAATGCTGTTGGACATGTGTAAATCATTTAAGCGTGAATGGCAGACTACATGCAGACAGAGATTGGTAGATATACATGTGAAACAGAGCTAGGAAGTAGTGTAATTGACTACATGATAACAGAAGAGGAATTTTTTCCTAATGTGATAGATTTCTGTGTAGGAGAGCATACAGTGGCGGATTTAAGGGGGGGGGGGCGCACCCGCCCCCCCCCCCCCCTTAAACTGTCAAAGTTAGCGTGAATCATAGTTTCGTCAAGAAAATGAAAAAAAATGTCTACTCGGTAGACCTCATTTTTACCCTACAAAATCTCTAGAATCCAGGAGCTTCCGGGGGCTTCGTCCCCTGGGCCCCCACCAGGGCTTTGCCCTGGCCCCCAGACCCCCTGCCTACTTCTGCGCCCCCCCCCCCTAACTTCAATTCCTGGATCCGCGCCTGGCATACACAGTTTTCAGACCATAACCCCAATTATATGCAGCCTTAAATTCTGGTTGTACCCATGAACTGAACGAACAGGAAAAAAAACATAAACATAGAAAAGTGGAAATGGAATGAAACGTTTCATGATGACTATATACAGCATGAAACTGTCCGGTCGTCCAGAAAATTTGACAATTTCTATTGTTCGTCACAGTTACTTATCTTCAAATATTCTCGTAAATTTTTGTTTTGATGCTGTTGTGACGCGTCATGATGTCATCGAAACTCTCTGATAAAAAATTATTAATAACAAAAAGAGAATGTTTTTATATTGATTTTAATTAAAGAATTTTTTCATTTGTTTTTTAAGTTCTTAAAATTCTTCTTAAGAGTTAAAATCGTTCTATAAATAGATACCTGTACACTATTACAGAAATTTCATTTTGTCTGAGTAAAACGTAAAACTACCCTATCAAGAAGAGTTATTGTTCTTTGTAACTATATGCTTAAAAATGAAAATAAATTGAAGCTATAGAGCCCTGTTTAATTTATAGAAAGTTTTATTATACAATTAAATACGTTGACTAAAATTAATTTTTTAAAAGTTAAATACACCTCAATCTGCAATTTTAATCATTTTAAATTTCTTTTTCCCCGGAGGATTTCATTAAAAGCTAAAATGTATTCCTTTTGCACAACATTGAATGTGTTGTATAAGTGGAGAAGCTTGTACTCCGCCAGTGTAAGGAACAACCTGCACTTATAGCAGAAGTTGCGTTCATAGTGCTATCAACGCAACTGGCGAGTGCAGGTTCATATATAGTTGGAGAAAACAGAGAGTATGCAAATATCCACCAATTAAGTTAAGATTCTAAGACCATTAAGTGAAATATTTCGTGATCTTTACTCCCTGCAATGCTTTACATTTATTATTGCTGTATTTCATTACAAACGTATCAGCCATTATGAAGGTCGTCAAAGGACATAATTTTGGTATGTCACTGAAGTATGTCAGTTTTTGCCCAACTCTAATAGAAACCCCACCTAGATTCTAGTATATAGATGTGACATGACTGTCCCTCAATTTTATTTGTACATGATCAAGGCCACGGAGACTGGAGGTGCAAAAGTTGTGTACGTTCTATATCTTTACATAGAAATCTCATTCATGGTAAAAAGGAATACCACAAAAAAAATTGCAGTGATACTATTTCAACGTTGATTCGAGGTGCAAAAGTTTCTCTCCTTTGTAATTTTGTGAATGGAAAATAGTAGACGATGCATATAACTGAGGGGAAGGGGACCATGAAAAACAAAACTACACAACAGAAAAAGTGCATGCAATAAATCAATAATAATTCACATTTGGTATTGTAAATGCTCTGACCATACCATGTGGGAGGTATCAATTCGTTAGGACAGCTTTAGTTTTGTCAAAATAATTCCTGATACCGGCAAGCGAAGCGTAGAGTATTTTTTTCCCAAAACATTTTAAACAATTTGTTTGACAATGAAAAAATCTCAATAACAAAAATGAAGATGGTAAAAGTAATATTTTCAGGCCTACGAACGCCTTTGGAATCAAAGTCCAAGGGTTCCAGAGTTAGAGATCTACCTGCCTCAAAGTAAATCACACCACTCCCCGAGAGTGTGCGGTGGAGAACGCTCATCAATGGCTAGCATTGATTCAACCAGAAACGTGAGTACAATATAATCGTGCCATATTTCTGTTTCCTATGTGCAATTTATTCTTCTTCAGAAAGATCAAGGTAAGTTACAAATACAACACTAGCACACATGTAACATGTAAAATGCAACATAAGCCAATATGCAGGATAATAATGTTAAAATATGCATGCTTTTTATTTATGTTCATCTGTATTTCTTATCATCTCGACAAACATCATAATTAAGAAGACATGCGCCTTGAATGAGATAACTTGCAACTTAATTTAGTGAATTCTTCCGTTCAATAATTCTTTATTCACAAATGTAATGTAGAAATTACAAAAAATACAGTGACCGATGGGATATTTATCTATTTTTTAAATATGATTATTTATTTTTTTTTTTTTTTAGTTTTCGATCCAGAGACCACATATCTACAGTGAACCAATGGAGAATTTTGAAAGCCCTTACGTCAGCAGAGAGACACATCTGTACAAATCTCAAACGGTAAAACTTTGATAAGATTAAAGCGAGAAATGCATTCAAGAAATAAAATGAATTTTGTTTAAGATTTGCATCTCAAACATTATTTGAAATATATATATATATATATATATATATATATATATATATATATATATATATATATATATATATATATATATATATATATATATATATATATATATATATATTTACACTTATTGAGTGTAAGTAAGAAAGTAAAATTAATCTTACAGGGAATTAGACCAGTACCAGCCACGTATACCACAACTGAAAACAGAACTCCATTCTGAAACTCAAGAAAAGGAATTAGGAAATGTGTTGTTGTTTTTTTTGTTCCATATCATAACGGGAATTTAATTTCACATATATGAGCCATCTTTTAATGGCATAATAAGCAAACAATCGTATGCTGTTCAATTTATGAATGCAATACATTGCAATGTAAGTTTATTTTACTTTTGCTGTTCATGGACTTTCAGAGTTACTCTAGAGTGTTTATTTAAGAGATGAATTTAATTTTTGAGAATTCATGAGGAAATGATCTACGACGCTTCACGCCAACATATTTCATGAGGCGCGTTAGTGCTTCATGATAAATATGCAGTCGTGAAGTGTTATAGTTCATGTACCTCATGCATTCTCAAAAAATAATTCATATCTTATATTTACATTATTTTCTGATGACTTGCCACATATTTTTGTCATTCAACGATCAGTTTTGAAAAAAAATTGCACTATTTTTTTAATTCAATCACATCACAATGGAAATATTCTTGGTCATCCCACGGTAATTCATGAGAACATAAACTTTTTTTTCTAATTTACAAGGAATCTTCAGGAAAAATATTTGGAAATGTAAATCTTGATATATTGTTCATGCAATAATTTAAAATAATTATTTCTGATAGTTATCTTTTACGATTTTGTTAGAATATTAATAGATCGCGGATCGGAAAGCATATTGTCTGTAAATTGTAACATTATGATAATTAGTAAACCAAACTGAATGAAGTAAGCTTTACCATGCAAGAAATTTTTGGTATTTTAAAGATTTTCTTATTAAGTTTTCAAAGCATTATAATTATAGGTCTCACAAACAATTATATACACACATACACACCCTCACACACACACACACACACCTCCCCCCCCCCCCACACACACACACCTCCCCCCCCCCCCCCACACACACACACACAAATTAAATATGCAGGTACAAATTTTAAAAATTACATATATGTGTTTTGATATTGATTGTGTATATTGATAAAATTCACTGTCTTAATAAATTCTGTGAACAATGTTTTTTTTACTATGTTGCCTTGAATGTAAGTGTACTAATTTATGAATCACATTTCAACCGGACCAGTAATAAATTATATTCTTGAAATTCCATCGTTGAACATGTCGAACTGCATGTACGAGATACTGATTGAGCTGTCATTTAACAAAATCCTAAGTTCATGTATAAATGTTTAAATTAGAAACAATTGAGGAAGACTGTGTTCGTGTAGAAATAAAATTTCATTGTCATTAACCTGTGATTTATTCCTAAGACCAATATACAGTACTACTTTAAAATCCTCATTGGATTTCTGATATCAAAGGAATTTACTTCTGATAAATTACGTAAGGTTGGCTTGTCAAAAAAATCTTGAATGTGGAAAGAAAATCTACCCGTTATCAAAAATTTACCTGTCTCTAAATCGATAATCAAATTTTTTTTTTTTTTTTTTTTTTTTTTTTTTTTAATAATCAGTTCAGTGCACGTTAGCATTGCTGAAATTTCAACTGTAGGGCGTCAACCATACCATTCTGTAAGTATATTGTTTGTAAATAATGAGTCCGTAAAATTCTTTTTAAATTTTTTTTTTCGAAAGAAGTACAAGTAGGCACAGCTGATACCCCTCCCCTTTCTTTCTTTTTAAAAAGAAAAGGAACATCGAATTTAAAACATTTAAGAGAAGACATTTATCATTGTTGTTGCTTTCCTTAAAGCGTCACTTTCCCAATCATAACAATATGTCCTTAAACAAAATAAAAGCTCTAAAATGCAATCATTAACAATTATAAGGGATTGAATATATTTTAATCGAGAGTTTAAAATTATTCTTGTGTGAAGATTATGACACATTCTGAGGTTATCATCAACAACATACTGAAGATTGACCTTGAATCAAGAACAAGGGTTCGAGAGTTTCAACATTGATAGCTTTTAGAACTGATAGACATAGCTAAAGAGAGAAACCATTATGACTGTTTCGTTTGGAGAGCCATAAGTATCAGAGTTTAGAACCAGAATATTGATTTTAAAGGTTCCCAAGCCAAAATCAGTGAAATAAGGTGCTTGATAAAAAAGAGAAGGGTTTTAAATGATGCAACTTATCAATGACAGTTGTTTGCAATTTATGTCTACATTCATAGTAAAGACAAATATGAAGGTTTTCTGTTTTACGCAAATTTTGATTTGATAGTATATTTAATTTTGGATTTGTTGCATTTCTATCCATTATAGTTTATACGTATCTGTTTAAATACAGATAGGTTGCATTTAAAAGAAACGTATTGATTTACATTATTATTTTTTTTTTCAGGTAAAATGCGTATTCTTGACTTCTTTATCGGAATTTTAGTTCTGGTTTTGATATTGTGTTCTTCAGCTTCGAAGAATTCTTCTGATTCAATAACATCTAACTCCGTCGTGATAGATGGTGATCCAATAAATATAACAACATCAATGGTTGTAACACATCCGTCAACGCCAACATACAAACCAACACCAACGACACCAGAAACAACATCAAAAGAAGCATCAAAAAATATAACGACAATATATAAAACAATCACCACTACATCTAGCTTCACAGAAAAGACAACAAGCAATACTACAGAACCACCAAACACAACAATACACGACTGCACAACACTGACATCGACTCCCATGACAGCCAAAACTAGCACCACAACACGACCACTAATCACAACCACATCAAACCAAAAAGCACAATCATCAACCACCACAACATCTGCAACTAGCAACAAAACACATCAAGCAACTACAACAATGTTAGATCTCACAATACAGACATCAACTACCTCGACAACTGCAACTAACAACAGAACACCGACAACAACAACACGATACCATGCAGCACAAAAATCAACTACTACCACACCCGACTACACAACAGAGACTTCAACTACCACAACTGCAACCAACAACAGAACACAATCAAAAACCACAACCGACCACAAAATACAAGCATCAACTACCTCGACATTCGCTTCTAGCAGTGCAACACAACCACCAATCACAGCACAAATGTCGACTGCCATGACAATCACAACAGGCACCACAATACAACCACCAACCACAACCATAGTCACTCACACTACAGAAACTTGGAATGCTTCAACAGCCGAAAGTAACACCACAAAACAAGCAATAACCACAAACAAGTTTAGCTATATTACGCAAACATCGACTCCCACGACAACCAGCAACACAACACAACAAACTACCACAAACACACCCGACCACACAATACAAACTTCAACTACGATGACAACCGCAACCAGCAACCGAACAAAATCAACAACGATACACTTATCTAATCATACAGAAGGAATATCAACTCCCATGACAACACCAAATAACATCTCAACACAACTTTCAACCACAACTATAGTTAGTCACACTTTACAAACTTCGACTATTAAAAATACCGCAAATCAATCAACAACCACAAATATTTCTGGGCACACAACACAAACTTCTACTCCCATAATCCTAACTCACAACACAACAATACAGTCAGTATCATTACTACCAACAACATTGGAACAAGAACTAACTTCTGCAAATGTACCAAAACAATCAACAAAAGAATCTTATAATACAACCACAGTTACATCAGCAGTGGAGAGTTCCTCAAACGAACACACAATGGATATTTCGGAAAATACCATGTTAATAGAAAATAATATTTCTCAGCCATCGTCTACCCAAATCAAAACAACAGAGTCTTCATCAAGTACGCCGAGTTCTATAACACCTCTGACGACCAATTCCAAGACAACTATTTTAAGTACGTCTGCCCAACAAACAACCCAACGTCCAGTGAAAACCACAGTTACGTTTCCCAGGACAACGCTTGTTCCAACGGAAATACTTTCACTAGGTATTTCTTAATTGTTATAAAACCGGTATTGATTTATCTGAGATAATGTACTTTCGAAATTCAAAGTTTCAAAAAATATGTTTTGAATATCCGGAGAGGAACGTTATTCATTTGAATACAATGCTCATTATCTAATCATTTTTATCTGTTGCAGTATGAATTTCTAAATAAACAATACCCAGAATCACTGATAGTAACAATTCCATTTTTCCAGGACTAAGCAACACCCTGAGCCTACAATTTACAATGCTTATCACCACGGATAGAAATAGTTCTGAAGAATTGTACAGAACTAGTTTTTACTATAAGGTACGACTGATTCTGCAGATAACTTGTTAATTTGCTATACATATATATATCTTAATAATAAATCTTTGGAAATTGTGAGTTTTGTGGACAGCAATTCTAAAGTTATACTCTCTCTCTTTTCAGTTGAACCAATATGTATTTACTGAATACGAGTGCAGCGTTATTGTTCTTGTGAGGTATTTACTTAGAATGAATCTGCTTTTATAGTATTCTTTTGGATAACTCTTTCATGCGATTCACAATTTGAAGTCAAAGCTGTATTAAGGTCATGCGCAATGCACCTCTACAAAATACCTTATCTATTGATAATTTTTCAAGATATTCTTAATTCAAAATTATACCACCATCAGGTGGTCTTAAAAAAGAAAATTGCATACATTACCAGTGTTTTAAAAAAGACGTAAGATGGTGAAAATTCTCAAATTATTCAAATAAATATATACAAAACTTACCAAATATACACTGTAAGGTGGTATTTCCTCAAAATGTGTTTAAGAAGAGATGTTTAGCATTATTAGGCTTTATGAAGTCAAAGTTCATTCGGTTAATGGAATCCTGAATTATACGGGGAATGAGCAATATTATCTGTATATTAGAAATGTAACAGTGTGGAACTCCTTGTAGCTATCATGGTAGACATCGAAGGTATCGGAGAGAGGAGAACAGTCCCTGGTCTATCAGTCGTAGAGTAAGACAGTCGAACACAATGATCGAGTAAGAATTACAAATTTATTTCTGTATACAAGTATATATACTTATGTGAATCCAGTCTCTCTAATGTTAAAGCAGTAAGAAAACATTAAACGTTTTGATTCTGTAAACATATAAGGGATTTCTTCTTGTTGTCATAAAAAGGATAGTTCCAGCACATAATTAATTTCAATGTTTTATAGCAAGAAATCAACCAAAGGGAAAGGCTTAAACACTATTTAATGTCCTTCCTATCCATGAAAACTGAGTATAAAGCATCCGAGAAAGCCGTCTGATAAACTCCATTGATACAAACTGGATTTTTTTCTTAGCATTCGTATCTTTCCGAAGAATTTTGAAGAACACTTCTAGTAAATGCTTTATTCTGTTTCAGCGTTAATAAGCTGGGTTTTTTTTTATTTCAGTGAAGCCAAGATCAATATTACATGTACAATTGATGTTGGAATCCCAGTCTTAAAACTTCGGGAACAAAACAAGACAATAACAGATTTTGCAACCGACATTTCTAATAGTATTCGACAAAACATCTTAAACTTCACATCTCTGACATGGCATGCTGTTAATATATCGGATGAAATTGAGAAACAACTGAAAATCCAGACTAGGGGTACCTGTTTTTTATGAAAATGTTATATACTTCCAACCCACATAACAGATCACTTTAAAGTTTGAAAGGAGAATTATAGCACTAATTTATGAACTAATTTATATTCTTAATCAATTAATTTCGCTGATCCTTATCTATAAAAATATATACTCTAACATCCAGAGAAAAAAATCTGGCAGCTGCCAGGGATGGGGACCCGACTAAGCTCCTTCTAAACAATTATAATTTATGAACTAATTCATTAACTAGACAGCAGTGGTAATTCTTATCAAACTTCCAGATATAACTGAGTGCTCTGCCTCTGGGAAGCTTTGCCCACTAGGTTATGCATGCCGTGCCCTCGATCATGACCACTTCACCGGTATATGTTTCCACAAATGTGATCTGGAAGAGAATAAATGTAAAAACAATGGATATTGCAATTTTGACTCTGTGAAAAATAAAACAGTTTGTAGGTAGGTAGTCATTTCATCATATCATCAAGAATTGCTTTTTTAGCAATAGGTACTTAGAAAATTTTGTTTTTTGTCTAATTCATCATAACGCACCTTTCATGAGGACAGAAGTCAAAAAGATTCGATCTTTTTTAACTGCATTTTGAAACTTAAAACCTTTCTTGCCAAGGTGTCTTTCTAAATTTTTAGCAGTCTTATTACAAATATAATTTTTTGCATTTTACCTTATCTTGCAAAATAACATCAATAAAAAAGTTCCTCCCAGTCAATATCAGTATATTATGAAAATTATTACCGGTTGAACGTTAACAAGGTCTAAAATTTTGAAGATATTTCTATGTTGATCATGTAAAATGTTCATTCATTCATTTAATAGTCACAGGACTGTTATTAAAAGACTTTCATCGCATGAATATTTTGTATTAGTTTTTGTCAAGAATCCATTTCTATTATTTTTTAGTTATGAAATATGTATGATAGTAAATATATGAAACTTTATTCATCAAGTATTTGAAATTATGATAATATTTTAAAAATTATTTTTACTACAGGTAAATATTTATACCAACAGGTGTCAATCTTCTTTTCTGTCACTGTATTATGGATCCAACTGCGAAGACCAGACGGGGAAGTTAGAGACCGTGATAGGATTCACTCTAGGATTGGCGATTCTACTGATTGTTTTGGTCTTTATTGCAGTTCTCTGTTGTAGACGAAACCATGAGAGTATCAAAGAATTTAGGTTAAATAAATCATTTTACCTTGTTACATTAACTAAATACCAATTATAATATCAGTCTTTGTCCCTTGTTTAAGCAAAATAAATTCTAAGAAAATATCATTTTTATCATTTTAAAGAAAAAAATTATACAAATCCTTAATTCCAATAAAGTATTTTTAATTTAACGTTCAGTTTGATACATGTTCAAATAAGCAGATAGCTTTAAATTAATAAAACAATCTTTCCTCACTTTCACGCAATTTAATGATGTAGGAGACATGACGATAAATCTACATTAGAGACGGACTTCCTGTCAGAGTCGGGCGGTGTACAAGTCATGGACTTCAATTACCGTAAATCTACAAAGTTCAATCCGAATAGTTTAGATGTAGATCCAGTAGTAAAAATTCTGGTAACATTGTTTTATAAATCATAGAATGAGCCTATATAGTCCTTTAGTATTGTTTTAGGAATAATATGCAAAAAGTGTAAGTTTGTTTCAAAAAACGAGAAGTACTGTATAGAGGGTTATTTTCGCCCAGTGTTATTTTTGCTCTTTTACATTTGCAAACAATTTTGTCCCATTTTAAATTCGCACAGAAGCAGTTTTGTTTAAGATATAATACTGTTTACTTTGAATTCGCCCCATTTAAAATTCGCCCACTTCCGACGAGGGCGAAAGGGACGAAAATAAAACGAGGGCGAAAATTTTCCTATTACAGTATATTTTGCAGCTCTAGAAAAAAGAAGCATTTCAGATTGATTTCTTATTTTTAAAATAAAATAAAACACTACCATTCCTGTAACATGCTTTTCCAAAAGGTGATGAAAGGTTTTTTTTTTTTAGAAGGTCGCTTCCATAGTGGTGCCTATTTTCTGATTAATGATTCCTGGAGTTTAAATGCATCCTATATTTTTTTCTTTTTCAAGGTCCCTAATCCTGCAGATGTCAACGTGTCTGAAATGTTAGAGTCACCAGGGTGCTCCACAATTTCATCAGACAACTCGGACAACTTCAGACAAGTAAATATATTACACAACATGCATATTTTGACAGACTTTCTTTGTATTTGAGATTAAACATTCCAAACCCTATCAAAAACAATTGTGACTGATACTAAACCTTTCCACTCGTTGTCAGGAGAATAAGCGTCAGGAATCCACAGAGTCACGTGCCTCTGACGTAAGGAAGCCTGGAGACGAAGATTCTTTTTTTTCCCGCCATTGTTCTTAGTACCCCTTCTCCAGCAGTTACATTAGAGGTAAGATAATTTTTTCCTTTCTTGAAAATTTCATTCAGGCCAGGCCAAGACGTTTCCAGTGATAAATGTACTTCAAATATATATATATATATATATATATATATATATATATATATATATATATATATATATATATATATATATATATATATATATATATATATAAAGCACTAAAAACCAACAACACCGTAAATCCTAAGTGTCGGATCTACTAAGTAGATACAAGGTCACGGATGGAAATTTATATAAAGCAGTAAAAATGACCAACGACACGAACAATAAAAATTGTCAAATTTCTTTCTTCATAACTGTTTATAAACTTCAAATTTAACATGTAACACTGTAAATATTTAGTGTTTGGTAGTTTAGTAGTAGTGCTAGTTGTTTTTGTTTCTCTGTTTCCTTTGTATTTATGACTTCTTATCTTCTTTCTTTGTCCTGAGGAAGGGACAGGTCGTCCCGAAAATTTGACATGTTTTATTGTTCGTGTCGTTGGTCATTTTTAGTGCTACACACACACACACACACACCCCCACACACACACACACACACACATATATATATATATATATATTCAACATACTATGGGAACATCCATTGCCTGAACATTAACACGCTGTTCGAATCTTTTCAAGATATTTTTATGCCCTCGTATCGAAGATTCTGGGGTATATAGTTTTTGCCCTGTCCATCCGTCTGTCTGTTTGTCCGCAAAAACTTTAACCTCGCCCATAACTTTTGATTGGTTGGCGTTATGACTTTCATATTTCACATATGTATTCATTGTGTCAAGACCTTTCTTTGGATACCATCATATTTGACCTCTTGACCCACTTTTGCAAAATTTTATGAGACTTTAACCTTGGCAATAACTTTTGAACAGTTGGTGCTTGGGGTTTCAACTTCACGTGTATTTCTAGTGACAAGACTTTCCTTAGGAAACCAACAACTTTGGCCTTTTGACCTTGACCTTGGAGTTTGACCTACTTTTGAAAAACTTTAATCTTGGCCATAACTTTTGAACAGTTGGTGCTTGGGGTTTCAAACTTCACATGTGTATTCCTTGTGACAAGATCTTCCTTCACGCTAGCTCAGTCGGTAGAGCGCTCGGTCGGTGATCGGGAGGTCGTGAGTTCGAATCTCGGCCGCGACTGACCAAAGTCGATAAAAAATGGGTAGCAACTGTTCCTTCGCCATGCACTCGGCAATTTGAAGTGAAAGTTGCAGGTCCTTCGGATGAGACCTTAAAAACCGATGTCCCGTGTCACGGCAGGCGTTGGCACGATAAAGATCTTTCACTGCTCAATGGCCATGAGTGCCGAGTGAAGGTCAAAATTTGAAGCCCTCCACTGGTATATGGTGACGTCTCTATATGAGTGAAAAATTCTCGAATGGGACGTTAAAACAACATACAATCCTTTGGATACCAACCACTTTGACCCTTTGACCTTGACCTAGGAGTTTGACCTACTTTTGAAAAACTTTAACCTGCATTCCTTGGGACAAGACTTTCCTTTGGATACGAACAATTTTGGCATTTACCTTGACCTTGGAGTTTGACCTACTTTTAAAAAAACTTTAACATTGGCCATAATATGTGAACGTTTGGTTCTAGGGCTTTCACATTTCACGAACATGTGTATCACTTTTAACCTTCCCTTGGGGCCCCATTTGACCTTGACGTTTTACTTACTTTTAAAAAAAGCTTTAATCTTTACCATAACTTTTGAACAGTTGGAGCTAGGGCTTTCAAATTTCACAGGTATATTCCTCGAGACAAGACTTTTCTTTGGGTACCAACATTTTTGATCTCTTGACCTGGAGTTTGACTTGCATTTGAGAGACTTTAACCTTCGCCATAAGCTGCCATACGGGGGCATCAGTGTTTCACAAACACATCTTGTTAAATCTAAAATAAATGTCATAAACAGTTCATGTTTTTCGAAAAGATAATAGAATATTGACAAGAATCATCCTTGATTTATATTGGTATCATTTTTACAACGTTAACTTTTGTATGATTCTGCAATTTAATTTACTTTTTTATTTAATTATACAGATTTCCAGAAGTTCCTCGAAATCAAACCAGGAGAACAGAACTAATCACGGACAAAAATCTTTTCTTTTTGGGTCTTGAAATATATGCAATCCAATAGAAAAAATAATGTATCCTGGAGTAAAATGTTTATTCTGATTTTATTGATTATTAAACATCCAAAAATAGGTGTATGGTTCATTGGATATGCCCTGCTTATAGTGAATAAAGTTAAATAGGTGCAAAGTTATAACACGTCAAATCTTTAGTGTTTTTTAAATCTTTATTCCTAAATACATAAACATAATTTAATGGGTGATATAAAATAAATATATCAATAGGAAACAAAAACGAAGGAATAAAAATATATGAATGAAAATTATATCTAAATGTTGAATTATTGGCAATAGGGAGAGTTTTCTTCTTCTCATGTACAAAATGTAGTTTTTGATGACAAATATCTCAGTAGTTCGTTCTTTGTAAAATTTTATTCTTATTTATTTAAATATTTCGGATTGCCAACGTTTCAGTGTGAGCATCACTGAAGAGATAATTTTTCGAAATGCGCATCTCAGGTGCATCAAAATTGGTTCCTTATATGATTTACATTATGACCCCTGGGTCGAGGCCTCTGCTTGTGGACTGTTAGTCCCCGATGGTCTCTACAGCCCAGTAGCTAAGTACTTCGGTACTAGTTTGAAAATACGGATAAATATTTAATTGATGTGGTAACTTCAGAAATTTATTTCAAAATCAAGTATTATCTCCCTCATGCATAGCTCTGATCCTTCGACGTATTTGGCTCCAGTCTATGACACCCCTTTTTCAGCTCTTAATTCAAAGTTCTTTTTTCATTTAAATATTTCGGATTTTCAACGTTTCGGCATGAGCATTACTGAAGAGACATAATTTGTCGAAATGCGCATCAAAATTGGTACCGTATAAGATTTACATACTTTAGATAAGTTTTTATGTGTAAAATTGTAAAGACTAACAATCTATTGTGATGTGTGTAACTGAGTAGTAAGATGTTGGAAGCGTTATTTAAACAATAAATGCTTTTCTTTGGTTGTTTTTAATGAATTTCAAATTAAAGTTGCAGCTCTTGCAGAAAAAAATGCGGGTTATGTAATTTTTTTCGGCATTTTAGCTGCAACGTTAATTCCCTTACTAACAAACAAAGACATTTTATTTTTTATTTTTATGTCTATATAAATAATCGCCTAAAGTAGGATTAAGTAGGTTAAATATTGTATTATTGAAATGAATTGTACGTTTCATTGATGGAGGAGCCACTACTCAAGAAATCTATACATAGATTTAGTCTAGCTAAGTGGCGTTTAACGATTGATAAACGACAATGGTTTATTAAGAAATAAAGGAGAAAATATTCAATGGATGTAAATATTGAGTAATTTATGGTCTGGGGGTCATATAACGTTGCCAAGAAGACTGAGCTTTTTTTTTCTTTTTTTTCTTTTTGCTCAAGGCAAGCATAGACAAAACACTGAAATAAGAATAAACAATGTTATTTATTCAGTTAATGACAAGAAATTTGTGTACAAAACAGGAGTTCATTCATAAAAGTTATAAACCATCACAATAGGATTCAAAATTCCATACGGGAAAAACTTAATTTTTTTAAAACTTCTTTAGAAAAATTGAGCCTTTGATTTGTCAAATTTATAGGTAGATATTAAAAAAATTAACATTAAATCAGATGCAGGTAGAATTAGTTATAAGTGATTTCTTAATCATTAGAACTAGAAATATATTTATAGACTTTAGCAATAATATTTAGTCCAACGTGTCAGAACATTTCATATGTCATATACATGTAGTAAATATTTTATCAAAAAAGTAAAACTATACATTAAATATTTTGACACACCCATCTCGATCAGCCATATAATTTTGTTGAATATGATACTTAATCATAGATTTTTTTTACAAAAAAATATTTTTTCCGGATATTATCTTTTATATATATGACCATAGGAGGTAGGTGAAAAACGATTTCAAATGTTAATTTTCTATAATTCAACAAAGAAATACGCATCGATACATGTAACCGTATCAGAAAATTAATTTCACAACAATACTGTAAATTTTAAGTGATATATGAATATTCAAGTAATATTTCCTTTTAACAAAAAAAAAATTGCATTTAAACTTGAGAAAATGAAATTTAATGAAACATTAAAATTCATAGTAAAAATACTTTGATTTACTACATGTATTATAATAGCAAAATCTTTCATACTATTGTAAACAAGTTTACATACATTAACAACATGTACATTAAACTATATTTTACTATAGTATTTGTTTTTGTTAAGATTTTTCTTATATCTCTGTTTCTTTCAACATTGGTCAAAGGGCTGATACAACTTATCACAAGATACTATTATAGAGAACTTTGCAAGTCTCTCTCTCTCTCTCTCTCTCTCTCTCTCTCTATCTCTGTGACCATACTTTGGCCAAGTTCCTTCATGACATCTTTGATTTCATGTTTTTATTCAATTCATCACAGCTCTGGCCTATGATTTACGACACAAAAATGATTATTTCAATATATGAACTAAGAAATATGCATTGTATATACCATCAAGACAAGGTTTAGCAATAATATACTTTGGAAAGAATAGGCATATATAAACTATGGCTAAAGTTGAGGCTTACACATATAGAATTACGACACAAAATTCAACATTCAAGATGTAAAGTGGAATGTCTGGATAAAATAATCTCGTCCAATAAACCAGTATGCCTTAGAGTTCAGTCAAATAAGACAGTCATTGGATGAACTCCACGGAAACCATAACATATTTTCATGGTTACTTTTTCTGTCCTGCCTGAAATATGTCAGAAGCAATTATCTTATTTTCATATATACATCTTCCTAACGTTTGTATAAAAATTGATTTAAAATGAAAT